ATCTCATGGGCTGCGCATCGGATCGTCCCAGCGGCTCATCGCGAGGTTTGACCCTCGCAGGCACCACGTCGCTGAGAAAGCTGCTCGCGCTGCTCGCCACGACGGCGCCTGGCACAGATTCTGGTTGAAAGCACCGGTGTCGAACGCATCGGCGTCGGTCGATTGAATCGATGCTTAGGTTTTGGAGAGACCATAATAAAGGATGGTCTGAAGTTATTGGGGCGTGTGTCTTGAAGGAGGGAAGTCTGAAAACTTGGTAACACCCGACAGGTCACTGTCTCCAATCAACGCACCATGCTGGAGACCCGCTGGAGGATGCCCTGTAGTAGGTCATCAAAGAAAAAATCACTGCAGGTATCTGCAGTTCATATTCACATTGCTCACACCAATTTCCACCTTCTGCTAGTCATCTTCGAAGTCACCGTTACATCCAGAAGCACTCATATCGCATGTGCACGTTGGAGTTTTCCCATGATTTCCGACGAAAAGTAGCTGGAACCGCCGTGTGACACCTTCATTGCTGGATCGATCGATATCGACCCTGCATGAGCTGTTTTGAGGGGACAACTGGGTTCAGTCCAGCAAGCTGAGAAAAACGCCTTCGGAATTGATTGGACTTCTGTTTTGGGAGCCTGCAAGACAAAAAGTCCGCCGACCCCTGCGACAGGGGGAGCGCGCCAAAGAATCACCGGGTCTGCCGGTCCTTTCTGACGGCAGTATCCGCCGACCCCAGCCGATGGCGGGGGAGCGCGTCAGATCGAGAACACTGCTGCATCCGGCTGTCAGAAAGCAACGCTCAGTTTTGGTCGTTTTTGCGATGAAAAAGTGCGTGTTCACAGAGGTTCAACTTCGTTTAGTAAACGATAGACACCGGACGGACATCGTTGCGCCGGAGCTGCAGGTCTTCAGGTTATGTGCACGCTTGCAACATTTTGGCATTAGTTGTAATAGCTAGATATGCCTCTGGCTGGGGGCGCAGACTGCCTTTCGTGCGGGCGCAAAACGCACGAGGCCGACCCTGCCGGCTGTAATAGCAGGAGGTCCACCGCTGCGGCGGAGCAGATCGTCGGGGTCTCCGAACAGGGCGCTGCAACACTGCTCTATCCTGCCGTCAGAAAGCAACGTTTGGCAGTCACGGAGCGTGGCGGATGAGATGGGTGGGAGCCTTGGGAGTGAGTGAGCCTCTGTAGCTGTCCAGGAAGTAGAGTCGAGAGAGAGAGAGAGAGAGACGAAAGATGGCTGTAAAGATAAATCTTTCACTGCCATCAGAAAGCAACGTTTGGCACTGAGAGAGCAGCTCCGAGGACGAATTTTGGATCGTTTTTAGGGTGGAATTAGATTGTGGAAAGCGGGGCGAGGGAGATCGCTGGGAGCAGGTGTCTACCAGCCAGAAGACCCGTGGGAGATGAGAGAACGGCTTCTGGAAGAGGATTGGACGAGGATTTTTACTGCGGTCAGAAAGCAACCTTTGGCACTGAGAGAGCAGCTCTGAGGATGAAGTTTTGGTTGTTTTTTGCGTGGAATTAGATTGTGGAAAGCGTGGCGAGGAAGATCGCTGGTACCAGCCAGAAGACCCGTGGGAGGTGAGAGAATGGCTTCTGGAAGAGAAGAGGAGAAGAGGATTTTTACTGCGGTCAGAAAGCGACGTTTGGAACTGAGAGAGTAGCTCTGAGGACGAAGTTTTGGTCGTTTTTGGTGTTGACCTGGAGCCCAAGGCGGGGCAGGTCGTGCGCCCAGAGGAACACGAGCCCCCGAGTCCGGTCCACAGTGTCAGGGACCGAGCTGCCGTGTCCTGTCACCCACCCCGCTTCCATGCAGCCGCGGAGAAGCGCAACCGGCGGGAAGGCAAAGGGCCTACAAGTCTTGATGAGTAATAGACTGACATGTAGCTTAATCGAGCAACCCTTCAGATTCTCAACACTGAAGCAAGGACTTGGTGATATGCTCAGATCCCAAACAGGGAGAGCTCACCTTGGTGAAACGATCACTTCCCCAAATCTATAGGCCACCCCCACGACGCCCGCCAGTCCTGAATGCGGGTAGTGTGAGTTTGAACTGTTCCAGATTTGGTGCCCTGTTGGATGAAGCAAACTGTTGTGGTGAACTCTTTGCTGCGATTCGCATCTTCAACTCCTTCAGCACAAGAGCGTCGATCTGTTACTGGAATCTGGGTTGATCCCAATGTTTCGTTTGCTTGGCCGTAAACTTCCCAGGTTTCCTGCTCCTCCTGAGTCAGCCAGCGTGCATCCTTCAACTCATGACAGATGAGGGCTGTTGCCGTCAACCTCGTTTGCACGACGACTGAAGATAAGCAGTGACAAATCCCTGCATGCGACCCAGTGCTTGTAGGGCCACTGTTGGATTTGCCAAGAGTGCTGCAGCAAGCCAAGTTGTCATCGAATACACCCCGGCGGCAATGAGAGCTTCATCACTGGTTGGTGCCTCTCCCGGGTCTTCTTTAACCTTCACTTCGGTCCTAAATTGTGTGATTAATGTGAACCTCTGATTTGTAAATGGCCCATGAATAATACCAACCTTTTTCAAAAACCAATTACAAATGGACCCAGAATTATACCTTTTTTTCTGGACCATGATTTTCAGCTGCTTCCAAACCTTGATTCATCCAAGCTGATTCTGAGCTTTCAGCTTTCCTTTCCTTTCATGTTCCTTTTGTCTCAAATATGCAAACCAATATCTTTCTGGGCCTTACATTATTCGATTCTCTATAGGGCCTGCACTTGATTCTTCGGCATCCCAGCTCAGTCTATGGATCTCCCAGCGAACCGAACCTCGTCCGGTCCGAAAAGCACCTGTGTGCTCGGCATTCTGATCCATCAGGTACCAGGTCATGAAGGAGGCGGACAACGCCGCTAAGGGCGTTGTAAAGGAGAACCTCCCACTCGAACCCGAGCGGTGCGGCGAGGACACGTCTCGAGCCCGAGAGGGGCGGGGCGGGTTGTAGCCGGAAGGTCAGGTCGGACACTGATCCGGAGGTCGAAGGATGTCGGGTCGGGTCTACCAAGAGGTTAAGTGACCATACCGGCCTATAGATCTTCAACACAAATTTCTACCTTTTCATCCATAGAACCAGCCCAAAGGCATAAATGTTGCATAGTTGGAAGATCTAATATATAGGACCTCATCCGGGGTACCTATGGGATAGTCCGAACTCGGGTCCTGAAAAACCGATGCTGGCTGCTGGCGGTATCGCAACACACAGGACCTCCTCCGGAGTCACAGCCATAGAGCCGCGAAGCGTCATAGCTCAACATTGGATCCCTTCGAGGCTTGAGGGTTTCCGAATCATCGTGGGAGCTTCCGATCCTTACTGTTTGACCTACACGGAGGGCTCCGGACCTCCATTGCTTTTCGGGCATCCTCCGGTTCGGCGGTTCGGTGGTCTTCGACCCCCCAAAACCACCCCTGGCGGCCCCTGGCCGCCCTATATATAGGGTTATTTCCGTGACGGAGCCTTTCCGAAGCGGGAAAAAAACAAGACACACCGCCGTGGTCCAGCCTCATGGTGGCACGATGTGGCGCAGCAACTTCTCTGCCGGTGCCCAGCTTCACCGAGCTTGAGCTGTGAAAACGCTTCGGCCGGAAAGGTTTGGAGGTACAGGTGGAGGAGTCCGTTTTTCCAACTGCCAACTCTCGTGCATGGAGAAAGAAAGATATGGGAGAACTTCTAGCTCAAATGCCAAACAAAAACCCAGCAAACGCCTGAATATCCTGTCAGTATAAATGGCAACGGTTCGCCCTTCGAGTCAGCGCCTGGGACTCTGCGACTCAAATCCCTTGAAATCCCCAGGACTCGGGTCCTGACGAACATTGACATTCACCACCGTTCACCCAACTTTCCACATGTTCATGTTAAGGGTTGTTAAGGGTGTCCCCAATCCCCTCCCCCCCAAAACAATAAACAGACTCCAAGGTCATCTCCTGACTTCATCAAGGTCTAGGGACTTTGAGAAGCCTTGGCCCCTGCGCCTTCCACTCCCACCTCCCAACTTGGAGAGTGCACGTGGATTTCGACATATCCAGCCGCCTTTTCAACCCATCCGGGATCACCCCTTTCAACCAACCAAGAACTGAAGATTCCCTCAGTGGACTTGGGAACCGTTGAGGTGTGGAAATCAGTGGAACAACATGGAGCATCTCAGTCATCGCCATCACCATCACCATCACCATCATCATCATCATCATCATCATCATCATCATCAGGCTCGACCCAAAACCATGCACAGTAGCTACACAAAGTATGTCTTTCAAGCATGACGTGGCAATAGGTGTAGCGGACAAATCTCTGAGGGTAATGCACTAGCCACGAGCAACAGTGATGTCATGAGTCATTCAGTCATCTAAGTGATCTTGAATTTGTGGGAGGGCTGCTTAAAGAGCGGGTCATCATAAGAAGTTCAAACAAGTTTTGAGGGTCCAACTCACACAACTTCATTATGCCTCGTCACGTCTAAGGATCCGGACCCTCAAACACCTAGAGGTTTTGAACGGGTACAGACCTCTGCAAACTTGAGGGTTCGACCTTTGTGCAAAGGTTCGGATCCTAACAAACATCCGGTATGACTAAAAAGCTTCGGGTCGGATCCTAAAACCCCTTAAGTTCGACCCTCTGGCAGGGCCAATGATCTTGAAGAACTTGTTGAAATCAGTTCCATATGAGCCGAGTCATGGTGCTCGGTCATGGCTCCCAGGCATCCGGTCATGATGGACCCCGATGCCTTTCCCGGCTCCAGTCGTACCATCTGGGAAGGTGTTTGGGGTGGGGTTAAAGGGGTCAAATACCTTCTGAGGAGGTACTTGGAGCCTTAGGGTTTGTAATCTTTTTATGTGGCCTGGCGAATCAGATTCTTCGTGATTTTTCAGGGGCCTGTATTCGTTCCACGAACAGTCCGCTCGTATGTCTGATATCATGGTTTTATGGTTTGCGCAAGGCTTGAGGTTTTCGATTCAGTTTGCCACAGCCACATCTACGGAGTCCGTACCTCATGGGGTCTCCAAGAACACCTCCTGGAACGCCTGGTACACCTCGCGAGCGGTCCGAGATCCATCCAGCGGTCCGAAGGCAGCTGCAGCCAGGGTCTTTACTATTTCCCTGGGATTGAAACAATCATGGTTTTTGAATGTCCAAAGAACCAATTGCTCTACTAAGCTAAGGGTGTTGAAGACTACACATCCCAAATCAACAACTACAAAAGGGCAATCTACTCGGGCTGTGGTTGATCACCCAAAGAAGGATTCGAGGTGACTCGGTGAAAACAAGTGACAACTCACAACCCCTAGGGCTCCTACCACATCCTGTGAAGGGGGTGGGTTTGGAGGGTCTAACCACCTTTTGAGGGTATGGGCTAGGGAACATAAAAACACGTGATATATATATATATGTTGATCAACCAGCTACATCATATCTGAAGAAGTACACTACCATCCAATGCCAATGCCACTCCAATCCGAGAAAGAACTGACTGCATGTGCTTCACCCAAAATGGAACCTGTTAGACCTCTTTGCAACCCCAAAGCCACATGACTTTTCTCTGAGGTGGAGTCGTATTGGGTTAAGGATATGTGTTCAAGGTTCATTGCATGCAAATTCTCCGTGAGGACTTACTTCGGCCAGTCAAGACAATCAACTAAACTAATCCACTGCACTAATCACTAATCCACCTCAAAATTCAAGTTACAGTACATCAAATTACAAATAACCAAGAAAAACAGGTCTGGGAAGCTGCAAATCTTTCTTGGCCCGACTTCATTGGTATGTACCTAGGAACATAACCCGAACCCCCAACAAAAACAGGTAGTGCAAGTGTACCGCTATAGCCATCTTCGGACCCACCATGAAATGAAAACCATTGAAAACCCATAACCCATCAAACCCCGGCGTAGGAGGCCACCGGCCACCGGCCTGGAGGAGGGCCGAAGGACATCTGTCCACCTCTGCCACGAGTCGGTGGGGCGTTCGATGGCGTCGCTCAAGAGAGTCGGACCACAGGGCGGCTGGCGCCAGAAGAAAGCAACCCCCTTGGCGCATTCTTCTTCAGTTCGTGCCTAGCTAGGGGTTCTCAGCTAAAGCAGGCCATCTCGAGCCCTGGGGCCCCCAAAGCAAACAAACATAGGAAGACTATATAGATGATAGATGATAGATGCATGTCTTCCATGTGGGTGCATGGAGCGGGGCATTGTTCTTCCCAATTACTGGAAACATGAAGCAAAGACTTAGACAGAATGGCATAAACTAGATGCAAGTTACAGGTCCGGTCATGTGGAGAATCAAACCACCCAAATTTGAAGGCAACACGACCTGCCAGGGAATATGGATGGTTCGCTTCTTGGTCAAACAACTGCAAAAAAACGTTCGATCAGCCTACTCTAGCATGTTCCAACCACATGGACATGCCTCTAGTTCCAACGCCTTGTTGCTGGTGCGAAGATCATCTCATGGACGCAACACAGGCAGCGCAAACACCCGCCGTGGAACGCCGAATGAGACATCTATGACACGCCCCAAAGCAATTGATATCCTTTTTGAGAAGAACAAAGGGGTCGATACCAAGTACTGTAGACTCTTGATTGATGTCAAGACCCCAAAAATGAAGGGGTTCATACAATTATTTGATATGTCATATATATTCCTCAAGAGCGTACATGACCATATTGCCCATTTGCTTGCTCACCCTGGTCTGTAGGTTTTCTGGTCTCCCTACTCATCCACCATGGCGCCCAGCACACGCCATTCGATGCCGCCTGAGTAGGTGTCTCCGCGCCCACTGGCCGGGTACCTCGAGCGACGTCTTGGTTGGTGGATGGAGATGCGTCACGGTGGCCAGGTGGACCCGAAGTCCCCCAGGGTTCCCGGCCCCCTCCGTTTCGAAGATGGATCAGGGGTGGGTGGCAGGGGGTTCAGGCCAGGAACCCTAGGGAGTGTTCAAGTTTCGCTCGAGTTTCACTGTGTCAGGGTGACCTGTCTGAGGAAATGTTCAACAACAGCTGGTGCAAAAGAATCGGCGCTAAGGCCCTACACATGGCTGCCGCAATTGTTGCCGCGTGGGTTTCGCACGAAGAAACCATGGCATGCATTGACAGACCGTTGGTATAGGCAACAGCAAAGCCGCAGCACACCAGCAGCTAACCAGAAAAGCAGAAGCAGCAAGAAATCAGCAGCAACATCAGGAAACCGCGGCAAGAGGCTTTGCTGCAGCGCAGCAAGCAGGAAGCGGCAGCACGCAGCAAAAACCGCAGCAAGCAGCAGAGCAGCGAGCACCAGCAAGCAAACAAACAGCATCAGCAAACCACGAGCAAACCAGCGAACCAGAAGCAGCAACACCAGCAAGCCAGCAGCAGCAAAACGATCAAAAGCAAGCAGCAGCAGGCAGCAGCAGGGGCAGCAAAGCAGCATACGCGGGCAAGCGGCAGCATGCAGCAGCAAGCGGGCATCCAGCAGCAGCAGAAGCACGCAGCAACCACGACCAAAAGCAGCAGCAAACCAAGTGTACGTGTGGGGATGTGGTCATGGGCCATGGGGCTGAGAAAACAGTCCGCCTTCCCAGTGCACGGCACCGTGCAACGAGGTGGAAACCCAAGTGTCACCTCTCGCTCCACTGCTGTTGGAACCCTAGTGGCCCCATGCTCGTTGCAGACTCCGTGTACGCATTAGTAGTGATATGGGGGGACTCGGTGAAGGTCATTCACCGACCTGAATCTCGAAGTGTAGATTTCGTGGCAGGCAAAGCACTTCGTGAAGCTCAAGGTGCAGATTTGTGCTCTCAGATAGCACTTCGTGAAGCTCAAGGTGCAGATTTGTGCTCTCAGATGCTCACACTCACACTCAACCTGCATCCACGCAAAACCGAAGTTCTCATCTACAACCGCTAACTAGAAGTTCAGGACAACGTGAACCATCAACACAAAGCTGAACTTCCCATCTACAACCTATAACAAAGACCATGCAAGCCAGCTTCAACACAACGTCAAGTGTCATCTACAAAGCCAAGTCCAAGACAACGTCAACCGTCAACACAAAGCTTGTGAAAATCCGGCCATGGAACTGACCGACGGTGAAGGAAAATGATGGCTGCAGTATGCGTCTGCCCTTTCACCTGCCATACCGTCAAAATCCTCATCTTCTGGATCAATGCGGGATCTTCTTGGAACTCGACGCACAATTTTTCCAGGATGACAGGGAGATCGCGTTGCAGGTGGGCTTGCGTCAGTTTGTAGAATGTTACAATGGCAACACTCTTGTGAGCTTTACAAAGTCTCAACACCACGCACCCCAAAGCAACGAGCATCCTCGGAGTGGATGCCGCACGGTCTTGCAGGTGTTGAGGATCCGCATCTCGCATGCTGCCCTGGGCGATGAAAGCCAGACTGCCAGACTGTTTAGTTGCTGCTGGTGCTGTGCTTCTTATTTATTGTCATCATTGCCGTCGTTGTGTTTCTTGTGTGTTCTTGTTGCTGCTGTCCCTGTTGTTGCTGCCGCTGTCGTCATTACTGTCGCTGTTGTTGCTGTCAAATTGTGTGATCGTTGTTGTTGTTGCTGATGCTGGTGTTGTTGTTGTTGTTGTTGTTCTCATTCTGGTTCTTGTTGTTGCTGTTGTTGCTGCTGCCGGTGTTGCTCTTCTCGTTGTTGTTGTTCTTGTTCTTGTTCTTGTTCTTGGTGGTTAATCTCGATGTGTTGTCTTCAACTACCCCTGTTGGACTATGCGAAAGGGTGTCTTTTTTCAGCGATTTCAAAACCAAGCCCGAGTGGTGGCTCCTGCAAAAAAAACAACACATGAACCGAAACCCTAAAAATAGCACTTCCTACCCCTAGCGGTGGTGTCCGAAAAAACATCCGAAACAGATGAACAAAGATGCGCTGTCTATCCACCATGACACGCCGCGCTTACACCAGCAGGCTTTCCTTCCCCCAATGGCACGGACTCACGCAAACGCACTTGCCACCGAGGTCATGCAAAACCGCATGGCACAGCGACATCACCTTTCGAAAGCTTTAGCTGTTAGTCTACTGAAGAATCACTATTCTAATAAAGGTTTTTGTAGGGGAAAAGGAAGACCCTTCGCTCTGGAGGTTTATTGAATTTTTGATACGAGTTTAATAAAGGAGTTTATATAAAATTTTCATGAGTTACTTTTGGTTTTGAAGCTCTTCCCAGGTGACCCTATTTTGGACCCCCCCCCATTTCAGGGACCCCCTATGAGACAAAATGTGACCGAGGTTTCCTTATTGCGAGGGGGGGGGGCCGTGTTTTTTAATAGGTGGAAGGGATTAGTCCTTAGCAGCCCTGGGCATTTTGTGAAAGTACTCCAGATAGCTGGGGATGAAAGCCTCCATTATGTTTCTGACTTCAGCTGCTTAATCTAGAATGACGTCTGAATTCATCACTGCTTAATTCATTCTATGTTTTTGTTTCATGTTGGGATTGTGTGTGGCACAAACTCAACACGTTGAAAATCAAAGACGGAATTTAGCAAAACATGACAGGATCTAAAGGAAATCCTTTAAACCACTTAGCGTGTGGTACTTGAACTCTCTCGTCCGCCCGAATGCGCACGCGGGAAAGCCGTTCGGCATGGAGCTGCCTGCCGTTTTCGGGACTTCAACCAGAGTTCGGTACCATGCGTTACGGAAGAGGGCTCCAACAACTCACTGTTAGAGTTCAAACCTTTTGTTTTAACCAAACGATGCTTTGATATGGTTTTGCTGTCTGTTTACTTACAGGATTTTACAATTGCCAAGCCAGATCACGCAGTTTTCCAAGGGTTCCACCAAAGGCGGTTTTTCGGGGTCGCGTACTTCCCGACGAAGTCGCGACTGATGTCGCGACGATCCGTGATGGCCAGGTCGCTGGAGCCGATTCCGGAGTTGGGTTGGGCCGAATTAACATGAACTGCTTAAACCCTAAGAATCCTTGGGCTCTCCATAGCAGGGGTCGGACCCTCCATAGCAGGGGTCCGGATTCTTAGGGAACAAAAATAGAAGATGCTGAAGATCCGGTCATGCCCAGGGACTATCCTCCCTTTTGCTTGGAATACATCTAGGAAAAGAGGAATGGGATTCTCTTTGAATGGGCTTCTTGATCTCAAGAGATCTTTAACTCCTTGGCTGAGGTTTCAAGAGCTGTATAAGGTTTTCAAGAGCTGTAAAAGGGGCATGGTTGAGGTGGACTACACATCCAAAACTGCGTCTTCAGTGGGTTTTGCAAGACCCGGAACAACCGCCTCCAGTTGAAACTTCCAGAAACGTAAGATATAATATAGATCCCAAACATTCCCAAACACGGGATACTCTCCGTGAAAGCATCGTGGAAGTAAAGCGAAATCCTCCTGTTTGGTAGATTTCACGGTCCTCCTTTCTTCAATTAGTCAAAGTTTTGTTTGAAGGAGTGTACCTAGACCTGACCTCGCTCGTACCTTGAAAAATTGTACATGACCCGAACCAACAACAGCTACGACTCGTTCCATGATTGTGTGAGGTACCTTTCCGGGTGAAAACCGCCACATACACGCAGAGGTTGAAGAACCCTATAGACTATCCTATAGGTACCCCTGGTTACGGGTCCAGGTCACTGAACCTCTGTTGGAAATACACGCAAACGAAGCTCTGAAAAACACAGCGTAAGCACACGCGCCGATGCGCGTCGAATGCCGCGTCGACGACCGGGTGGAGAGCGGGGGAGCCGTTGCTTCGGTGCGGCCCACCTCGGATCTCCAGGTCATGCAAGTGAGGACCTGATGGGCCTAGCTCAGTCAGGTCGGTCGCAACTGGGAGTGGTAATTCGCACGGAGGTTTTGGGAGTGGTTAACAAGGTCGCAGAACACTGCACGTGTGCAGAACTGCAACTATCATAGAAGTTGGGTGTCTTTGAGACAAATTTCCAAAAGGAGCTTAGGTGAATTCTGTCCACCCTTTACTCTCATTCACTGCCTCGGATGAAAAAAAAACACACCAGTGACTACAGCGACCCCTTCGATCTGAATGCCACTGTGAAAATTGAAGAAAAACACATCATGTGGTCCCTGGATTTATCCCACAAAGGGACTACATTATATTCCACAAAGCTCTTCAACACCATACCTCAAGAAGTATCTGAAGTACTTGGCCATCGGGCATGGGGTGTTGCGCTCAAAGTTGGGTGCGTCACCCAACCCCAGGTTTGTTCATTGTGTACGTTCCCGGTTTGGCCGAAGGTTTAATATCCCCCAAAAACGGATGTTGACATTTGTTTCACACTCACAAAAGCAGCTCGACGACGGGAACCAGATGGGGTTCATATGTTCTCTGGCGCCCGATGGGGGTCCGGCTCAGTTTTTGGGCACGGGAGGGGAAGAGGGTCTTCTCATACATGAACTCTTGAATTCCCATCATCCTGAGGATCCGCGCCCTTGAACACATAGGGTTTTGAGGGTCCAAACGGAGTCCAGACATGTCCAAACGCCTGCTATGGAGGGTCCGACCTGCCATGGAGGGCCAAAGGATTCTTAGGGCATCCAAATCATGAACCCCTATCATCAAAGCCCGTGTGCTTTGTTCCCCATTATCCAGCATGACCAACTCGGAGTGGAACGAGTGGAGGGGGGTTTACGATGATCAACAACGTAGACAGAATCGTTCAACTGTTAAATCTATTCTCCGAGTCTGAACTTGGAAGCGGATGGTGCACCACTTGTTGGTACAGTCCCGAAAGTTAACTTTGACGCTGAGAATGCAGTTTTCAGCAGGGTACATAGTAGAGACAACTTGCCTTCCAGGATTCCAACACCCTATGCCATCCACTTCCATAAATACTTCAGGGAAGTGGATAATATATAGTAGAATTTAACCCAAAATAACTGTTGAAGACCAAAGATACCAAAGCCCTGATCTTCCCACCCCATCTGCCCGCTGCCTTCCACTCCTCTAGACCTTCCACCGAGGGCGAACACGGCACGCATGGCTCGAAGTCTGCAGAGTATCAAAGAGTGGGACACCGAGGTCGAGTCCACGAAGTCTGTGATGTGAGGTCGAACAAATCGATTGCAGGGCTGCCCGGGCTGCCCGGTGGTTTTGGTCACCTGCAGGGCCTCTTGAGGAACAAATACCATACTGGTGAGCGCACCAATGCCCAGCGTTTTTCTCTGCGGTCTCCCATGACTACTTCTTGACCCCATGAGTTTCCCTGGAGAATGCGGGTTAACCTTCTTCCACCTATATATTCTTGTTGATCAGGGAAACCATTCCCATCACTTCCCAAAAAAGGTCTGTGAAAGGTTGTCTAATTACGAATTTTTCCTGAGTAGGTCACCACCAAGCCGGTCTCAGAACAAATAAAGATGGACCTCTCGGCACCTCAAAGACACATCTTACCATATCTTGCCAGGAAATATCTCAGGAAATGCAACCGCTTTTGATTCGCACAATGGAATCTGCGACCCCTCTGGTGAAGTCTGAGCCCCGAGGTGGTGTGGTGTGGGAGAGAACACCTCCCGCATCAATTGTTCCACGAAGGACTTCAGCGTTGCACACCTGGTCTTCACAATGTCATGCACCTGGCCTTCCATTTCTGAGTTTGCTTTGGTCCACCGTTGGTCCACGGGCCGCCCCATGCCCCAGACTGACCCATTGTTCGCCCAAGGGTCCCTAGCAGCCAACTCCTGGCATGGCTGGCTGAATCCTCCCCACTACCCTTCCGGTCCCCAAAGTGGGGGCCCCGTGGCATGGACCTTTTTCTTCGGTTGAGGTGGTTGACTTGAGTTGCGACGAAGTCCAAAGAAGGTGCTTATAGCTGCTTCTTCCTTTTACCATGTCCGCTGAAAAAAGGCCATCGTCCCCTTCATCGTCTGTAGATCACCACTGTATCCACCGTTTTTAAGGGATAGATCACCACCAAGAAAGTTCATGGATTCCGTCCCACCCGAGAAGGAAAGCCAAGGCGCAAACCCGCCACGCACGACTTGGGAGACTCGAGGACTCAGAAACCCAATTCTGCGCTTCCTTTGGCCTAGACTTCCAAGACCATTAAAAAGAATATGGTTGACCTGGTGTTTGTAGAGTAAAATCCTTAGTTGATTTGGTAGAGCCAATTAAACTAATGGTGGTTGGAAGCCTAGGGTTTGGTTTGGCTTTGACGCTGGCAATACAGTCCAAAAGGAGATGGAAGCCACTTGGCCCCAAGTTTGCACTCATCACCTTCGACTTTTCAACAAGCTCTGTGTCCAGTTGGCCACAGAGCCCAAGCAACTGACCAACTAACCAACCAGCAATTGCTTTGCAGAAGATTGATCAACAAAAACAGGAGTAAGCGAGGTCTCTGCCTTTTCAATAGTGACAAGTCCCCATGTTTACACATATTGACCCACGCAAGTAGGAGGACAAAAAACTTGGCGAAGAATGGCCTTTGTTTCCATTGCAACCCTGAAGTCACGATGGTGTTTGAAGGAAGGCTTGGAGATTTAAAGCCACATCCCTGGGTAGGAAGCGATTGTCGCTTGGCAAAAAAACGAAAGGAAAAGGAGTCTCTCCTTCACAAGAAGTCCATTGTCCAGTCAGCCCACCAAGTCATGCAAAACGTCTTGGTAGCCTGGGCCCGCACCGACCTTCCGACCCTCGCGGCTGCGCCTCTCGTCGTTGCTTCGCTCCGGAGGCCTGGAACGAAGCTGGCGCAGAAGGATGGGGGTCGTCTCTGAAGGATTCCATCCCACCATCCCACGCTCCGAAGACTTAAGGCCTGCAGACCCCTCCAGAGGATTCGGGCCAGCCGGATCACGTTTGGGCCGGCGAAGCACCGAACGAAGATGTCTCATGCATGTTCCTTTTTCTCTGATTGTTTTTGTGTGTTTTTTTTGTTTCCTCTTTGTTTTGTTCTTTATCATTGTTTTACTCTTGTTGTTGATTTTTCTCTTTATCTGCATCTTTTGTATTTGTTCCCTTCCTCTTGTTCTTACGTCCCTGTTTTTTTTTCCACTTTCTCTTCTTCTCTTCCTACTGTTTTCTTGTTTTTCTTCCTTATCCTTATCCTGTTGTTTTTTTATCTTACTCTTGTTTTTCCTTTGTCCTCTTCTTCTTCCTTTTGTTTCGTTCAATTCCTCTTCCTCTTCGCCTTTCTCTTCCTCTTCCTCGTTCTCTTCTTTTCTTTTGTTTGCTTTCTCTTCCTTTCTTCCTCTTTATGTTTCTATTGTTTTTACTCTTTCTCTTTCTCGTTCTCCTCTCTTTTCTCTTTCTCTTCCTTTTCCCTGTCTCTGGAAGAGCAAAAGGAAACGACAACCAAACGCAAACATTGCTGATAATGCAAGGCAACTTGTGCAGCATAACTCGCACCACGGGCCTGTGAAAACAACTTGAACCCAATCAACATCAAAACACCTTTCAAACAATTGGAAAATACATCGAAAAACGCAGGCCCGAGGGGTGATGAGGCTCCACTCCATTCCGGCGATGCCTCGGGCTCGCCAATGTCGATAGCCTCCTTGATGAGGGACCATCCTTTCTTGAGGTTCTCAGCGGGACCCGCCAACTTGAAGTCGTCAACATACACCACCAACCACAAGGCCTTGAGGCCTTCACGATAAAATATGTTTTGGCCAAACCGTCTGGCAAGACCTGGGCCCATCCCTTTGAGTTGAGGCAGCTATTCGAGTGTCTTTCCCAGGTTCCTCCGCTATATGGTTGGCCATAGAGAGCAAGAACTAGAGGAGCGACTGGGTTCTGGAATTACCTTCCATGCCTTGGGCCATCTGTTTTTGCGAGATCCACATGGGCACCAGGAACATCCGCTTGCTGCTTGGCGTAGCCGAGCTGGCTTCCAAAAGCGTCAAGGATTTTGGCTGCCTCCATGGAAGCAGGCGATGAACCAAGTTCACTGAAAAGCGCATGCGCATGGTCGCTGTTTTCATCGCGAACGTTGTTTCCTTCAAAAACAGTTCGGCCTTTGAACTTCCGCAGAAGATTGTCCTGTTGAAGCTCAGTGCCCTTCTCGTAGCACGCTTCGAAGATGCGGCCAAGGTGGACGATTTCAGGTCTCAGGCGCAATCGATTTCCCCAGCAGCTGGTTCACGATGCCACTTCCACCCTAGTCCTTGGCCTCGTTCGGCATTCTTTCACACGAGACTCGTCCGGAAGGGAGCAAATGTTGGGCCTTTTGAGGACGGTTTTGGGCGGAACGCGCCAAGGTGCAAAATCACTGTAAACTACAGTGTTTTTTTAAGCACTCATTTTGTTTCATTAACACTGTGTTGCAATGCTGCAAAAACTGCGTAAATACTCACACTTTTGAAGGAGCGTGCGTGCAAAACACTAAATATAATGCTTTTGAGTGAAGCCCTTAAAAAACATCGTAAATACCGCGTGTGAGAGGACTTGATCTGAAAACCATCGGTATTTACAGTGTTTGCTGCCACAGGGTCGACAAGCTTCTAGCGAGGCTGCAAGCGAAAAATAACAATATTCGCGTGTGCGATGTTGCTGACATGCAGTGGCAACCTTTTGATCGAACACATGAACAAATGGATGTGCTGAATTTGGGGCCGTTGTGTAATACGGCTAGCTTGCTACCCCAGGTGCGTCCCCTGGCGCCGACCCTATGCTTTGCAGTGTTTTTTTACACATGGCCTTACAAAACGGCACTCTCGCCCGCATTTCGAGCCGTTTTTGGATCTTAAGCGACTCAAAAATCGGCAAAAGGAGAAATGCATCAAAGTCCTTGAGCTGGGTGGGGAGAGGCTTTTTTTCGCCACCAAGCGCGATGAATACCATCGCACAAAAAAGACAGAAAACATCGAGCAAAAATCATACCGCATAAAAACACCGCGTTTGTGGGCACCTGATAGCTGAAAACCATCGGTATTTACAGCGGTTGCTGCCGCAAAAGTGCCAAACAAAAACCTAAATTCCGCGTTTTTGCGGCTTTTTCTTGCCCAGAAGAGACGCCTATTTCCGGTGAGGAAGCCAGCGTGCACAAGGACGCGCGCGCGCGCGCGTGCGCGCTGAAGGTCTGCGTATATTCCTTCTTCACATCATATACTTGCGGTCGGTCCCGAAGTCTTACTAACCCATTTGGATTCAGGCCTCCGTGAGGAACTGGAATAGGCGGGTTGACCTCGGTTCGGGCAAGCCCGCAGCTGAAAGGCTCTCTTGCAGGCGTCCCTTTTCGGCAAAACACAAAAACGGCCTCACGTAGTAGTCGATGGCTGAAGTCATGTGCTGAAGTACTATAATAATCGATGTACTATATCCCAAAGGATTGCTTTTTGGGTGCTAAAAATTACCTCCTGAATAAATGGTCTGGTTTGGTCTTTCTAGCAACAGGTGTTGCAAGGATTCAGAAATGATTCAACTCAAGACTGAAAGTCGGGCTTCATTTGTCTTGGGCAACCCCGACACTGCAGAGTTGATATCAGATTCTGGAAACCTGGTCCCAAACCAGAAACAGTTGGGACTGGGGGAAACATCCATGTGCTTTCCGGTTGCGAGACCGAGTTTCCATGTGCTTTCCGGTTGAGACCGGGTTTTGAGGTTGTGTGTTTTCCCATCTTCTTTTCCTCCAAATCCAACCCATGCTAAAATCCTCCCGGCCTGGCCGCCCACCTCCCGTGTTCGGTGCGGTCGAGGTGTTTTGGACCAGGGACCCTGGGCGGTTTCGGTCCCAAAGGTGGACTAAACTCAGAGGTTAAGTGACCTGAACTAGAACCCTACGGGTGTACCTATGGGATGGTCGAACATCTATAGGATATCTCGGAATCCTCTAGACTGGGAGGACCCAAAGAACCCCACGTCCGGTCGTCCGGTCGTTGTTGTTTGAACCCGTAGCCCGGTCCAAGTCTCGGTCGACGGGAGGCCGACGCAGCCCGAGCGACGTCCGGACGCCCCGTCGACCCCGCCCCGTACCCGTCGGTCGAGCATCGAAGAAGGGAAGACCTGAAGAGCATCCTGCGGACTTCTGGGAGCTCGAAGTGTTTTCAGGCCGACGCATTGAACAAGAGTAGTCCCTGAAAACACTCGCACCACAAAAATACGATCCAACATCCAAGAGTAGTCCACAATAATCCACAGAAGCCTGCTGGACAAGTCTTTGCTCTGCTTGGGGAGAACATGTCAAAATGCCATGCAGGCTCACCTAAAGGCTTCATGGAAATATATATGACCTAGAATTCCAATAAAGCCAGCCAAATGCCAGCACCCTCCAACAGGTCACTACCTGCGACTTTTATGCCTGCAAAAGCTTCCATTTTGGAGACCTGTTGCAAAGTGCTGGTGTGGATCTTGTATGTTGGGCCACTAGCTTCGCTTCTCAACTTAACAGTCTATAGGTGAGAACCAGCATTCCCCTAGGTGCCCGCGCCATCATGAAAAGGCTCCGCCACGAAACTGCCTCGAACACAGCAGCTTGACTCTCAAGACATACCACGACGCAACCCTGGAGCCTCATATACCTGAAGTATATGGAGGAATCAGACCCTGTACCGCATGAAGCTGATGTTCACAAAGCATGGTCCCGACCCGAACCTAACCCTTCCCATTGGAGAAGGGCCGGGATGCTTAGCCCTACAAGTCCAAAAACCCAGTAAAGCCTGGTCCTTTTGCCTCACTGAGTAGTAAGTATAGTGATGATATTGTATGTTCAACTTTAGTATAGAATGAGGTCAAACTGATCTGTAGGGTAAGGTTAACCAACAAACTAATACTAATATATATTAACACACACATGACAAAAAAAGGGTAACGTCCCTTTGACACGCTCTTGAACATATCCAGGTCAAAGATGCGTTCCAACTTGCAAGAGTTTTCAGGAGTTCCAAGTTCCTATAGTACCGACGTCGTTCGATTCGTACCTTTTTTTAAATGGAACATGCCCCTATCCGCTACAAGTCAATGACCTCATGAGATACTCGAGTTGGTCGTACACAAACACTCCTCGTTTGGAGGTTTAAAACATGCTTTTACTTACTGGGTCGGAATGGACTCGTAGGCACAAAAACAGGTGCGACTGCACCCATTTTCGGTACGTGGAACCGGGTCTCAAGAGTTCCTTCCGAACTCCAGACCTTCACTGTCCGCCCCTTCTCGACCCGATGGCTGGGTTGAACTGAACTCATCTATGGTCTCAACTAGGATCAACTTGACAATTTAGTGTGGCCCTCGAGCAAAACGGAAGAGTGCGTGGAAATGGAGGACATGGGCATCACACACAAGCGTGTTTATTGTATTTCTTGGGCAACGAGGCATTCCGGTCATCCATCTTGTCCGACCTTTGCTTGCAAAAGTTCCGGCGCATCCTGTGATAACTGAGGCACACTATACCAGGACCCTCCTGTCGGGGTGTCCTGGCTGGACTACCCCACACCACCCCACTAGGCTTCCAAACAGGACACCCCTTAGAGGCACACTGGTACACCACACCACTATACACCCAACTGGTCCTCTCACATGGGAAAATCTTCCACCCAGTGCATCCATCCCACTGAGCTTCGCCGAGCTACTACTCTACTTCAACAATTGGAAGATTCTCAGGAATGAGCCCCAAAAATACGACGGTTTCATGTGTCTAAACTGTCTATACTCTCTACAATCCTCAATCCTCGGAATGGTGAAGCCTTCCTGACATGCATTGGCTTTCAAGCCAATTCCAAGGAGTCATTGGCATTTAGCTTCGCCACTTCCCCATTCGACCCACCACCCGGCTTCGCACCTCCAGTCGGGAAGCCGTACGACCTCGCCGCCTGGCGAGAGCCGTCCCGCAGCTGGTGAGACTGAGAGATGTCGTCTAAGAGGAATAAGACCATGGCCCTACCCTATAGCGCCCTATAGGGCTCCAGTTGTGCCTCCTCAGGTTCGGTATGACTGGACCCTCCTAGCCATCCCAAACACCTTAGGGATCCGTTTTCGTACCGAACCTCAGTTTCGGTACGACTGGACCTGACGTTTTGGCACCTACACAATAGTGCCAATCACCTTCTGAGCTTCGGTACGACTGGATCCCTAGGGAATGAGAAGCGCGAACGGTTCGGGCCCTTGCTCCCCCTCCGTCTCATGGTCGGGTCGGACCACTGCCATGGAGAGCCCAAGGATTATGTTTTGGTACCTGTCGACCTGTTGGTTGATTTGGTACACGGGGGGGGTATCCCCTCTACCAGGGCCCCCTGTTTGGGGTGTCCAAAAATACCTTTTGCCAATCATCCATTCACTGGATTCCAGTGGATGAGACTAAAGTCGCTTACCAAGCAAGAGACTTTAAAGGATCCACAGTTTTACTCTTAGAACAGATCAGCGACCCAGCCACCTATCAAAATGGTCGCAGGCCAGGGTGGTTCTGCACCACTTAGGCCACCTGCTGGCCAGATTGACAGGGTCCAAAGCACCTATATGCTCAAAACCCCCAGGGTCGCATGCCATGACCTGCCCACGGCTGATGCTCCAGCTATACCAACTGCTGCGCGGGCGGGCGGGCGGGCGGTTTTGCTTGGCATCGATCTGCACCATTTTTTCTCCGGTCATCTGTGTCCTGTGCTTACTAAACGGCCTCGCTCCGGAAGTCACTCGTGGGCCAGTGGCTTCATCTTGGCCACGGAAGGTTCCCTTAGAATTGGGTCGTTTGCTCCATCTAAAATCGTGCTAATACCGTAACTCCCTTGCCTACTCCTTAAGGATCCACATACCCCCTGAGGTAGGGTGATTGGAGACACTGTTACAGTACGTAGGTGCCAGGAGGTTCCAGTCGTACCTTCTAGATTCTATCAAGCTATGACTGGATCAGTTGCACACTTGCAAGACCCACCTAAAGAACCATCACGGATGGGCCATGATGTTCAAAAGATCATGGAACAAAAGGATCAAACAAGTGACCCTGCATGGAAAACACACAAGTACGTCTAAAAGTGTCAACAAAAAACCAGCTTCCTCCGCAGCTCGCTCTCAAAAAAAAGCGTCTCAGATGAGCAGTGTTGGCACTCTCAATCCCACAACTCCTCTGGCACCACGGCCACGAAGCCGAAACGACACGGCCACAAAGGATTCCGTGGCCCGTTCGTCTTCGACCTCCAAAGGGTGACTCCCATCGACTCGTTCCTTCCGCCGTGGCCCAGCGGTTCCGCCGGAGGTGTGGGCGCCCGGTGATTCTGCAGGATGGTTTTTAGGATTTTTGGAGGACAAAGCCCTAGGGCTCCTGTCCCACCTCCTGAGAAGGTGGGCCAGGAGTTCCAGGGGGGTCGAATACCACCTTCTGAGATGGGCCAGCCCCCTAGGACCCATCATGGTAGGGGGGGTTGATGAATCCACACGTGGTCGCGAACGACCCCGGTCACTTCGACCATTCGAACTGGATCGACTCGTGCGTCGACCCCGCCACGGCCATCCGAAAAGGAGGTACATGGAGCCTACGGGATAGTCTACAGGTCGACTGATGCAGATTATCCAAGTTGAGGGAAGGGTGTAGATTCCACATGAAGACTGCGTAGGAGAAGATGCAGAAACATGGTTTCAGGGCTTCAGCTGGGCAACACGCTTGTACCACGTCACCCACGTAAGTTTTACTCCAAGTGTCAAAGCCGGTGATGAACATGGGTACACAAGCTTTGGATAGGTTTGGAGTATCAACTACCTATTAATTAGATCCTATTAGAATGTACTGCAGGTGCATCCTTCTCTCAAAACAAAGCCCTTCACCCAAGCAGGAAGTACATCCAATCTCCTAACGGGCGGAGCTGGGCACACGATGAGAGATTCACCGTCACTGTCCAGGCCAGTCGAGGTGTCCCGGCAAAACAGCTGACGGAACAACGGCACTGTGGACATCATATCTGAGGCCCTTATGAAGTTTCATCCGTCCACGCCGTTCTTTACCCAAAATTCCATGCAACGCGAGGTATTTGAGCTCCTGGCTTCTGGCTTAGGGTTTGAGCAGACTTTTTTCAAAGGCTTCTGGTTTGTTGCCTTGAAGTTCAGTGTAAAGAACGAGTCCTTGTAGTTTGATGCGGGTCTCAACACCTGCAACTGCTAGCAGTCATTGGTGACTCGTCTGCAAATCCAAGATAGACCTATACAACTTTCCTGAAACTCGAGTTCTCCTCGACCTAAGACCACTATATAAGACGTCTAGACCATAGTCCAGGCTTAGCCTCCATTCCCTGGTCATTCGCCATGAGAACTCTCAGTGTGTAAAAGCCAAACAAATCTACGCCCCGATGGAACTGGCCGGCATGGCGTCATGGCCATGGATCACATGGAAGACGACTTTCCTTTCAAGAGCTCCACTGTCATTGAGACAATTCACAGAACGAACCCCCTCAACCGGGTTTCAGCCTTCGTTTCCTTCTTCCAACGGAGGCCTTTCGGAGTCTCCCGTATTAAAACACACACACACACACCTGGTGGATGTCTCAGTTCGTACCGAAAAGAACTGCCCCAGTCGTATACCATGGTTGTCATGATGGGGTCTTATGATGCCATTTGTTTGTTTCGGTCTAAGACTATACGAAGAGTCCGGCTCGAAGACCTCGCAGCTCTGCTCGTAATTCGTTTGACTCGAGCGACGGTTGCCACGCACCGATGGGTCGGCGATGGCGCAACAAGAAACCAATACAACAAGTGCCAGTGCCTATAGTGTTGGGTCTAATGGATGACGGTCCAACTCATATGTATTTATTATACCCTAGACCCTAGCATACCTATACCCTCCATACCGGCAGGAATAATAAAGTATTATTCCTGGTACCTTCCAGATGGATTTCAGAAATTATTCCTAGAACTCAGCAGTTCGTGGGATAATTGTTAAGAAGCATGTTATATGATAGCAAAAGGTATACCTCAGGCATCCTGGAATAATTAGTTGAAAACTATTTAAGAATTTTATAGTCTCTGAAGGGTGTGGCCAAATCAATGACATGAGTTCTGCCGCCGGATGTGGCAGGATGTGGCAGGCATCTAGCTGGGGAGCCAGCATGGCTGAGAAGGCACTGGGATTAGGGCTCCAAA